AAAAAAAAAAAAAGAATTTCATAGAATATTAAAGAATGCACCTCAAATATGCCTGCATTTCTAGTTTTTTCTACAAGGGGAAGAATGGCACCATTTACTGGGACGAAGCAGTACATGTTTTTTCAGCTTTGTGTATAATTGATTCATTACGTTAGTGGTGGGTAGATGATATAGGAACCAGTAAAATACCTTCTACACCCTCTACAGACAGGGGAGGGGATCCAAATCCTGGAATAGGGTCTTTACTCAGGTTTATTTTCCTGAGACTATTTTCAGGTTCTTTTCCAACCCAGTTTGTTCTTTGCTGCTCTTTATAGTCTGTTGAACTTCAGTTTCAAATCCTGTTCTTATTTTCTCTCTGTTCCCTTGGATTTCAAACTTTAGACCTTTCCTTGTCTCTTGGTCCATCCCCCACTGGGGTTTGACACCAGCTGCCGTTTGCTGTGTGCCCCAGACCTGAAGGGCCCACCTGCTCTGATGTCCAGCCATGGTGCCTGTGTTCAGCCCCAGGCACACCACCTGTCAAATACAAAAAAAAACCCAAAAAACAGCGAGAGAGAGAGAGAGAGAGAGAGAGAGAGAGAGAAAGAGAAGGAGAAAGAGAGAGTTGGGAGGATGATGTCATTAGTTTGACATGTTGAGGTTGAAATGGCCGCAGGAATTCAACACCTGGCTCAGGAAGAAAGTCTGTGCCGGCAGTAAAGATGTGCTGGTTGCCACCATATAGAAAAAAAAAAAAAGGTCAGTGGTATGGGTCAGATTACCAAGGAAAGTATGTCAAGTGAGAGGAAAAGACATCTCAGCAAAGAACACTTGACATTTCTGGAAAGATGCCCTCTCCCACCAAAACGAGCATTCCTATGAAGAAGACAAAGAAGGGCAAGAGAAAAGAGAAGACTGCATTTCAAAAAAGGAAACTGGGGTTGACAGAGTCTGTCATCACAGAGAAATAAATTAAGGACTTAAAACTTTTCACATTGAGGACTTAGAATAACTGTGGAGGGATGGTAAAGACAGAACTGAGAACAACGTGCAGGGAGGAATCTGTGGATGGCAGGAGAGGAACTTGTGAGCAGGAAATGTTTAAGCATTGGCTCAAGAAGCTGTCACCCTGAGGG